AGTAGGTTAATACTGCCAGTGGCGGTAGCAAGCGAAAGGAGAAAAACGACGACAAGAGCCAAAATACCTTTTCTTTTCCTTTTCCGCGCCAAAAATCAAAATATCATGGTTCAACGCATTTCTCCACACAACACCCCCAAGGATACATTGGAGGTAGTCCAAGCCATGGTTCACGACAACACGGAAGGGTCACGGCGATACCCACATTCCCAAGCTACGGGAGAAGCTGCTACCCGCTGGGGTCACGACTTCACCTCGAACCGACCCACACACCTATCTCAATTAAGATCGGCCATTGCCACGGCACCGTCGGCCATGCATATCACGAGGTATCCGGCACGCCGAAACGACACGCCGAGAACCAGAGGTTACGCCGCATCCCCGGGAACGCCAAAAAATAGCACCAACCGAGAGACTCGTTTGTCATTTGTGGCTTCTTCATGCGAGACTGTCACTTTTACCTTTGCGTTTTTTTCGAGGAGCTCGGCGACCCTCGTCATCTGGTCCGGGTGGGCTCCGGCAACCTGAAAATAGAAACAGTTCAACACACATTCGTGTTGGCTGGGCGTTAGCAGTGGAGACTGTTCGGGTGTTCTTTCGGCTACTATTTCCAGGACTCTTGAGCGTCTTTCATGTTCTTTGCAGCTTGCAGCAGGCAGCTAGCTGTATTTCCACTCTGAACGTCTCTCATGTTCTCTTTTTAGGGCGATAGCGCTAGAACAGCGAAGACCACCTTCATCATGTGCAACAGATCCTGCCGCATCCCTTCAAGGCAAAGAAATGATCGCAGAGACAAAGGAATGAACGAACGCAGAGAAGTGGAAGGAAGGCTCTATGTTCTAGAAGAACAGCTGCCGCTGCTGCTCTATGTATCGGAGGGCACGCGCCGCCGCCGCGCACGCGCCCGTCCTCCCCACTCTACATTCGCGCTTGTGGAGCTGGTTAAGACTGCTGGTTCCTCTCGAAAGCATTAAAAAAAGACGTGACCAACAGCCGCCGTTGTGGTGGTGGTGGCTACTCTGGTGCTGGTGCTGGTGCTGGTGACGGGGCTGCTGCTGGCGGTGCTGCTGTTGCCGGGGCCGCTGGTGGTGCAAGGGCTACAGCCGGGTCTACGTCTTCCGTTTCCAACTTTCTCACGCCTGAGAAGGGGAAAAGAAAGCCCAGCGCGCTCCGACTCCGCGGCCACCTCCGAGTCAACGGCCACATCCGACTCAGCGGCCTCCTTCGCTTTAAGGTGGACGCCTAAGAAGGAGACCACGCTCTTCCCTCTGGATCCCCCTATCAACCATAATCGTCCCCGCTGCACGGAGCCACCGCAACGGTTCGTTCCCCCGGGCACCGACTCCGAGAAGGGGCGTGACGTTTGGAAAAGTGCAAGGACCCGAACTGCGCCGGAGGGGGAACATTCCTCGCGTTTGACTTAAACCGGCTTCGTCTGCCAACGGACGATCCCGGTCGGCACGATCGCCCTCTCCCTCGTTCTTTTTCCTTGGTGCAAACAACGAGTACCACGAGGTCCATCTGGGGAACTGCCTTCTTGATATGGTGGAACTGCCTTCTTGATATGTTGCGCCATATCAAGAAGGCAGTTCAGCAGATGGACGATGGGG